ACAAAATTTTAAGATTTCAAGCACTATCTGTTCATTCAATATAAAATTGTAGCAAATAGAGTACTATTTTGGTACTTTTCACGCATTTGTATCACAATTTTCCAAAACTACCTCTTTATCACAAACCTACCAACAACAGGTTTCCAAATCCAAAATTTCAAAACTCCAGGTTCATCCGTTCCCCTAAGCCAAACTGTTCCAAATTTTAGTACCATTTTGTACATATTAGTACAAATTTCCATGACTATCTAATCGTACTAAATTTAATAGGAATTTCTATAACTACCTACATACCTCAGTCCTATAATACAATAACAATCTTATTTCCAAATTTCAGAACTCTAACCTTATCGGTTATACCCTCCTCCATATTTCAATTCAGCGCTTTTCGTGCGCATGGGTACATATTTTGAAGGCTACCTCTATATTCCAATACTACACTCCGCCAATAATGTTAATTTTAAAGCTCAGGATTCCAGCTCCATCCGTTTCTCCAAATTAAAATTGAAACAAAGTTAGTACCGTTTAGTATTTTTGGTATACATGAGTACACCACCTCCTCACATCGACCCTACTTCTCAGTATTGATATTCATTCTAAATTTAAAATTTTTAGCTATAACCGTTCACATTCTACAAAATTGTACCGAATGTTGTACATTTTAGTACTTTTCGTACACTTATAGTGAGTCTCTTCCAAGTTTAAGAGTTCTAGCTCTACAGGTTCGTCATATACTAATGGTACCATTTCCAAAAACTTTTTGGTACATCTAAAAATTTAATAGTTCCAGCTTCATTGGTTAGTTAAATAAAACACAATTTTCAGTAACTTTTAGTACTTTTCGTACCGTTCTAGTACGAATTTCCAAAAAACCCAGCCATATCTGGTACCTTCGGACCAATAGTGACCCTTAACCAAAATCTCAAGATTCTAGCTTCATCCGTTTCGTCTAGGCGTTGAAAATAATTTTTGCTCGTTCCTTTCTTTTTTTAACTGTTTGCTTCTGAGTTCTCCAATCAAGCGGAACAGCATTTGTACTTCCATATTCTCTTTTGTCGTTTACTCCTTTTACTAAAAATATTTTTTCTCTCTCTTTTTGTAAACCTTCAATTTACCATGAAATATTTCTGCCATTATTTCCAAACAATGCTAATAGCCAAACAAACAAAACAAAAATTTTCGACAAATTCTTTTCATTTGAAAATTGTAATCTTTTGAATCTTTGTAGAGTTTAAATTAAATTGTTTTTGTTAACTTTACCCTCCATCGAAAATACTTTCTTTTCCCCCCAAAAGAAAGAGCAAACAAAACAACAATAACATAAATCCACTGTCTAAAGAAAATCCACACCAACGAAACAATTATCACTTTTCCGAACAATGAATGAACATTTTGACTGCGCATTTTTTTTGCAAGTCAACCGAAGTTGATGCTGTCAGTAACAAAATCCAGTATCGTCGTTAAAAATTGATTGATTTCCCTTCTGGTCTCATCTGTGCAAAGCCATAAACGTAAATCATTGTCCTGTGAAAAGAGAGAGACATACACACACCAACACGCACACAGAAAATAGCAGGAAACAGGAGACAATGGCTCTTTCCTTTGCTTCCTTGTGACATTTTGAATTGCCGTTATGAGTGTGTGTGTGTTGGTATTGGTTGGTGATCCCTGCGACAGTTTGTTGTTATAGAAATATAAACACGCTTGCCATACACAGACCAACTAACACAAACACGCACACACACTCTCATACACCTCACATACTCTGTTCACTTTACTGGTCTTCATATCTCACGGCATTTTGGTTTTGAAGTGTGTCGACAAACACACACACGCACACACTCTCTATCAGAAGAAAAGTAACAAAATGTACACAGCTGTTGAACAAATAACTTTTGAGTTTGAGGTAGATGCCAAAATGATAAAGTACTATCTTTGACAACAACAACAAAAAATGTAAAAGAGAAACAAGTGGAAGAAACACAAGAACGCACTCGAAAAGTAACTGAAAGTTGTTTGTATTTGTTCAATAAGTGGCCGAGAGCCTATTTCAAAAAGAACACAAGTTCACTTCAACGACACAACACCTACAAAACTATGGCTGAATGTTGATACGACTTGGTGTACAAAAAATATCTGGAGTGTAAAGATGTAACGATGCAGACAGGAAACAGTGGACGATATAATTGTCGGGAAAAAAGTAGAAAAAAAATAGGTTAAAAAATACCATTCAGTTCTGTCGACAGATGTATACCCTCAGCCATAAGTTATGATTATTCAAACGGTTGACACTCTATGGGGGAGGTTCCGAAGCAGTTGGACCATATTGACCAATTCGTATCTGACTTAAGACTTATATAAATATTACAACGTGCCAGATTTGGACTATATCGACTAATTCCTATACTTTATATGAGATATGTGTAAATTTTGGGAAAATGTGGAAATTATGCGAAATCATAAACTTCGATCAGATTTCTGGTTAAGAGAAAAATTTAGATATAGCAAGTTGTAAAGAATTGCCGATTTGTTTCGCAAGTTACGACAGCTAAAAGTATTGAAAATTGTGAGTCTTTGTGGGTTAGGTAACGAAAGGGGTTCGAAGATATATATCATCTTCACAACAGATCCTGCGTTAGTAAAAATACTTGGATGTGTGAAATTTGAAGAGAGTTGGATGCTTATTTCGCTTTCTTTGAGCGTTTTGTTTTTCAGAAATCTTGAACCCTATGTGGTGGAGGTACCACAAGAAATGGTCCGATCTCTACCATCTATATAACAGACTCAGTGTTGATGTAAATATTGAGATGTGCCAAGTCTGAATAGAATCGAATGATTATTCCGTATATCAGGAGCTTCATGAATATTCAACATTTTGACCGTCTGTGGGGGAGGTATCAGAAGGAGTGGACCGATATCTTCCATCTTCACACCAGATCTTGGGTTAATAAAAATATTGTGATGTGTGTAATTTGAAGAGAACAGGATGCATATTTCGGGTTTTATGATCGATTTGGTTATTCAAAATGTTAACCCTATGTGAAGGAGGTATCAGAAGGGCCGATCTCTACCATCCACCAAGTCTGAGTGGATTCGGATGTTAATTTCGCGTTTTATGAGTTTCATCGATACTCAAAATATTGACCCTTTGTGGGGGAAGTAAAACAAGGCGTGGACCGATATATCCCATCTTCACACCAAATCTTGCGTAAATACAAATATTTAGATATATGAAAACTTTAAAGAAATGGATGCTTATTTCGTATTTTTTAATTTCAATTATTCAAAATTATGTCCCGTTGTGGAGAAGGTGTCAGAAGGGATGGTCCGACATATTCCATCTTCACATCTAATCTTGTGCTGATAGAAATATTGCTATGTACCGAGTTTCAAAATAATGGGATGCTCATTTCGTTTTATGAGCTACATGTCTATTCTCCATCCATCCCATATTCGCACCAGATTTTTTGTTGATAAAAATGTAAGAAATTTGAAGACAATCGGACACTTACATCATATTTTATAAGAGTTATAATTAGTCAAAATTTGGACCCTTTGTGGGGGAGGTACTTGATGGAGTGGACCGATATTGTCCATTGTCGCACCTGACCTAGCACTGATGCAAATATTAGGATATGCAAAGTTGGAGCAAAAATGGATTATTTTTTCTCTTTCCGTGCAGAAATATTTTTCCTTAAAAATTTTAAACTTTTGTGGGGGGAGTACCAGAAAGAGTGGACCAATGTTTCCGATCTCCGAACTCGATCTAAGTTTTATAATAATATTACGATGAACCAAGTTTGGACCAAATCGGATAATCCCTTCGAGAATTATTCTGCACACCAACCAGACAAACAGACGGACGGATGGACGGACATCGCTCGATTGACTCCAAATTTTTTCCAAAGAGACCTAGGGTCTAAAGCCGTTATTTCTATGAGGCACGTTTTGGGCGTATCAATCGATATATACCTTCTGTAACCATATGGCTGAGGGTACAAAAATAAAAACAAGTAAATAAGTAGCTAAGTTCGAACGGACCGAACTTTTAATACACTCCACCATTTAAAAATAAGTTGAAAATTTTCAACAAATTCCGAAAACTACCGCTTAAATCTGGCAACTCTCAAATAGGAAATATTAAAGGTTCCGTAATATAGGACCTATAAGAAGAAGTGTGCCTGTATAGATAATTTTCGGTGACAGACTGTAGTACCCAATAGGAACTTCAAATACGAAACTTAAAACAATTCCGGTGAATAATGTCGCTAATATCATCAAAATACCAATTATAGGGAGGTACCATTATATGAGCGCTATACGAAGACCTGGACCTCCATAGACAATTTTCTATCTAGGATTTAGTATCCATTAGGAACTTCAAATTCTAACTACCGAATATCTGGAGGTATAGTAATATGGGGACTATACCAAAATTTGGACATATATTGGCAGCTCTAAAAAATGAAGTTTCATACATAATGGAAACGCATGCTGTCAATTTACAGTACATTCGGGTCAAAATTGTGACTAAAGCACCCAGAAAACGTTAAATCTCTAGTTATATGGGAACTATACCAAATCTATACAGCCAATTTTCGATACCAAAAGTCCTGCAAACTTAACACGCACCTCATTAAAATTTTATCAAGTTAGAGTGATTTCTAAAGACGAACAGGCGGGTATCGCTGAATCGACATAGAATTTTATGCTGATCAAGAGTATGTATACTTTTTGTAGAATAAAATTTATAATTCGAGGTATTACAAACGAAATGACAAACTTAATATACCCTCCATACTATGGTGGGGGTATAAAAATTAAAAATCAATCTTACGAATAAAAATTTATATTGACCCCCATTTCAGCATACATTTTCTAACTCTATTGGCTGGGATTTGATATTTTAAATTCCTCACAATGAAAATAAATTCATTTAGATTTTTGCAGCGCAAATTTACAACAATTATTTTTAACAAAATTTTCTTTCCATTTTTCAGATTGCAGTTATCCACACTGAAATTTAATAGGATAGACGGCGAGAACGATTAATTTACATTACTATGCACAATGAGTCTAAATACTTCCAATGTAATCTACTGTGATAAAAGCTTCGACGATTTCCATACAAAGTAAGTAGCAGCAACAATTATTGTTGAGTCATCAAAAAATAAAAAAAAAAAAAAACAAAAATTAACAAGAACTTATGTCCTTCAAAATATTTCGCACGAGAATAATTTGTCACTTGTCCTTGAGAAAAATAGGACGAAGTAGGTCCAACGAATTTTAAATGGATGCAAAAAAATGTTTTTATGGAATTCCATTATAAATATTAAAAAGACATTTGGACACAATGGATTGCTGGTTTTAAAAGGATTTAAAAAGTATGTTTTTTATTTTTCTTTCATGTAAAGGAACATTGAAAGGGAAAAGGGACATAATTGCGTTAATTTAAAGTTGATCGTTCATTTTGAAAGGATTTCCCTTTGCAATAAGTGTATTCAGTCCCAACACTTTGTTGCAGTTTTATTTATCTCACCCTGTATAATGGACACTAAAAAAGTTTAGCCTGGTTACCCAATGAAATTGTCGGTCCTGGAAGAGTATTGTCTATGTAGACAATACCCATATAAAGGTTCCTCGCTATATTCAATATATTGATGATTTTACCTACCTTTCTCAATGGAATTGTCTACAAATCGGTACTAGAAGTTTTTTCTAAGTACTTTACCTCCTGAAGAGAAATTTCTATGTACGTCAACGATATAGTATAGCTCTCATATAACGGTACCCCCGATATTGGGTACCACCGATATAATCCATACAGAAAGTATAACCCACATATAACGGAACCTCCAAATATTCGGTATTTTGACGAGCTTAGGGACATTATTCACCGGAGTTGTTTCAACTTTCGTATCTAGAATTCGTAATGGGAACTACAGTCTATGAGAAAAAATTGTCTATGCAGGTCCAGTTCTTCGTATAAGCCCCATATATCAGTACCTCTCTTTATTCGGTATTTTGACGATTTTAGGTACAATACTCACCGAAATTGTTTGAGATGTCGTATTTGAAGATCGTAATAGATGCTACAGCCTATGACAGAAAATTGTCTTTGCAGGTCCAGGTCTTCGTATAGCTCCGATATAACCATACCTCCCTATATACGGTATTTTGATGATTTTAGCTACATTATACACCGGATTTATTTCAAGTTTCGTATTTGAATATTGTAATGGCTTATCACAAGAGTTGCCTATGCAGGTCCTCGTCAATATATTTTTAAGATTTTACCAGTATTTTTAACGGATTTTATTTTATGAAAATTTCTTAATTCGTTCCAAATGGTGGGGGGTATTCAAAGTTCGCTTAGCTTATTGCTTTTTTACTTGTTTAAATTCACTTCAATTTGCCGCTGTTGATTGGCGTGGTTTGGCTTTTTGGATGATTTTTGGTTAGTTAATTTACTAGCTGCAGAAATCCCCAGCTACCAAAGTACAGCCAATTTCTTTGGCACATGTTGGACTTATCTTTATATTCGAATGGGGTGATTGAGTAATGTCAATACGATTTAAAAATGTTGTCACGTTTTATGAAACTATATTTTAATGCATAAACATCAAAAGTGCTACATCCCTAATCCACACCTAATTTAATGAAACCTAATTTATTTAAATATATTCGTGTCTATTTGGCATCAATGTTGCCACAAGGAATCCTTTAGAAATCTATCAAAAAGTACAAATTCCCCAGCCTCGTTAAATAAATTCTAATAATGTTTTTCCCAGCATTTTTTATCGCTATATAAAAAATTCCAAATTATTGCTGCGAGGGAAGAATGTCAGCGCAACAATTCAGCAAAAATTCAACACAAAAATTTGTCTATTCCAACAAACGAATAAAACGGTTGAAATTAATTGGTATGGGAGTTGTTTGGCGGCATGTTCATAGAAATCCTTTTTCGAGTTACCCAGAACAAGAAATAAAATAGATTCACCAAAGTTATTTTATTGAAGTACAATAACGGAGCAAATAGAAATTGCGACATCCAGGAAGAAGGAGGAATGGTTCCAGGCGGGCAGCGGCATGTTGTGTTTTGGGAATAGCTTTGCAGGGAAATTGTTCTCCTTTGCCAAGGTGAACACACAAACGCATAAACAAACAACATGCAAATTAGTCTATTATCGCTTTTATTCATTACCCTGAACACAATAGCTAGCAGATTTGCACTTTCAATCGGAAGTCGCCCGGCTTTGTTCACAGAATAATGGCAAACGTTGATGAGTTTCCATCCTACTTCTGAGAATTCTCTTTGACTTGACAATGGTGGACTTTTTTTATGTTTCCATATCAAAGAAATTTTGAATTTTATTTTCATTGTTTGGCCTCTCGGTGTAAATTATAATTTCCATTATTAAACACGAAAATAATTATCATTCTTATCGATACAAAACATTTGGCTTCCACACAATGAATTTTAATCTCTAGCTGTGGCTTTTGAGGCATCGAATAATTAGATATTTTGCAAAAATGCCAGAAGCCAGAACAGGGGGAGGAATTTTCTTATCGAATCATGCTGTTAGATAACACTGTTCAACATAAATAATACAAGTGAAAAAGCAGTAAGTTCAGAGGGTAGAACTTTGAATACCCTCTACCATTTGGAATGGATTTGGAAATTTTCAAAAGAATAAAATCCGTTAAAAATTCTGTTAAAATCTTAAAAATGCCGAACATAGCCGTTATATTGGGATCTATACGAAAATGTGGACCTGCATAGACACCTTTTGTCATAATCCATTACAATATTCAAATACGAAACTTGGAAAAAAAAAGTCCGGTGAATAATGTTCCTAAAATCATCAAAATGCTGAATATAGGGAGGTATTGATATATGAGGCATATATGGACCTGCATTCCTCCTTCTTCCATTACGAACTCTAAATACGAAATTTGAAACAACTGCGTGGAAATTGTCGGGTAACGTTGTATGTGAGCTATCGTTGACCTATATAGACATTTCTCCTCCAGGAGGTAAAGTGCTTAGAAAATACTTTTAGTATGGATTTTTAAAGAATCCCATTGAAAAATGTAGGCAAAATCATCAATATATCGAATATAGTGGGGAATACGATATCGTGGACCTATATAGACAACACTCTTCCAGGGGGTAAATAACTCATAAGGAACTCCTTATGTTGAGTTGCAGGCAATTTCATTGAAAAATGTGGCTACAATCTTCAAAATATCGAATATCGGGGGGGTAATGTTATATGGGGCCTATACGATAACGTGGACCGCTAGAGCCCATCTTCGAACTTGACCTGCCTGCAGACAAAAGACTGATCTGTGCAAAATTTTAACTTCCTATCTTTGTTCGTATTGACTCTAGCGTGATTTCAACAGGCGGACAGACGGACAGGGCTAAATCGTCTTAGAATTTTACGCTGATCAAGAATATATATTCTCTTGGCTTTGTCTAAAATTATCATTTCGATGAGTTACAAACGGAATGACGAACTTAATATACTCTCCATTCTAATACGGAGAAATCCAGTAAATTATGAAAGTGGAGCTAAACAAAAAGGTGTCGCGTTTATCGGCATCTTTAATGTTTACTTCGAAAATTAACCAAAATAGAAGGAATCAAATTCCCCCCTCAAGCACATTTATGGAAATTTTCTGATTAAGATTCCTCCAAATTCGGGCATTTTAGATATATAGTGTCTCCGGCATTATTTGGAGGCTTTTTCGTCCTTTTTTAAAATGTGGTTAAGACTTAATTAAGGCGAGATCTTAGCAAGCCCAAATATTCCACAAAATTATGTATCACAAAATTCTACTATAAGTCCTTGAAAACGCCAGGAATTATCGAATGGTGGGGGGAGTGTACTTGCCTCCCCTAATTATACCCTCACGCATATGGCTAGAGAGGGTATACATACATCATTTCAAAACGTTCAAAAACGTTCCTAATCGAAATAACGGTTTTAGACCCTAGGTCTCTTTGGACCAAATCAGTTTCAAGACAGTTGGAGTCGATCTAGCGATGTCCGTCTGTCTGGCTGGTGAGCACGATAACTCTCGAAGGGAGTATCCGAATTGATCCACACTTGATACATCATAATATTATTGTCAAACTTAGATCGAGTTCGGAGATGAGCAATATCGGTCCACTCATTCTGGTACCTCCCACACAAAATGTCAACATTTTCAAAGAAAATGATTTACTGCACAGGAAGAGAAAGGATAATTCTATTTTGCTGCAAATTTTGCAAATCCTAATATTTGCATCAGTGATATGTCAGGGGGGATAATGGACAATATCGGTCCACTCTTCCTGGTACCTCACCCACGAACGGTCACTATTTTGAATATTTATAACTCTTATAAAATGTAACGCAAGTGTCCGATTGTTACAACATCACAATATATTTTTATTAACCGAAGCTCCGGTGAGAAGATGGAATATATCGGTACATTCTTTCTGAAACCTCCCCCAAAAAGGCTGAAAATTTTAAATATCCATGAAGCTCATAGAACACGGAATTATCATCATATATATCATTCGATTCGGACCTGGCACATCTCAATATTGTCATCAACACAGGATCAGTTATAAATATAGTAGATATCGGACCATTCCTTCTGGTACCTCCCCCACAAATGGTCAAAGTTTTGAATAACCAAAACGGTCATAGAAACCGAAATAAGCATCCGGTTCACTTTATATTTCACACATCCCATTATGTCTACCAACACAAGATCTGCTGTGAAGATGGTATATATCGGTCCACTCCTTCTGGTTCCTCCCCATACTAAGGGTAAACATTTTGAGTATCCATGAAGCTCGTGAAACGCGCGAAAATAATGTCTAATTCCGTTCAGACTTGATACATCTCAATATCTCCATCAACACAGGATCTGTTATAAATATAGTAGATAACGGACCATTCCCTCTGGTACCTCCCCCACAAAGGATAAAAATGTTGAATTACCAAAACGATCATAAAATCTGAAATAAGCATCCAACTCTCCTCAAATTTCACACATACAAACATTTTTGCTAACACAATATGATATACATCCGTGAAGATAATATACATCTGTCAACCCCTTCTGGTACCTCACCCACAAAGGGACACAACTTCCAATACTTAGATCTGTCATAACTTTCGAAACAAGTCGGTGATCCTTTACAACTTGCTATATCTAAATATTGCTCTACAATAGACCAATCAAAGCGGAAGTTAGTATGGGGCTTGCGCTTAGAGCTGGGCAGAAGCCTTCCAATTTTGATGGTGATCGAGTAATATTTAGTGGGTAAAATAGGCCATATCATTTGTGTTAAATTAAAGTCAAATTTTCCATTAAACCGCGAATATTTTTAATCCCGGCGAAATCACAAATAGACGAACAGGTCAATTCTGACCGTTACGTAGATGCCGATAGTAAATATATCGGTTATATATAGCGAAATAGATACAATGTGTATATACAAAGGAAGGGGATGTTAGTTAGAATGCTTATATCTCAAGAATGGCTGGACCGATTTTGAGAAATTTTGTCAATTCAGAAAGCCCTCTTGGCATAAAAGTATAAAGTTTAAAAAAATCGCAGAAAAATATGCCAATAAAGATGTTAATATAGATTTTGTAGTATTTTGTGACATTTTTTCATATTTTTTATCGCATGCGATTTTTTCAATTTGACTTACAATATTTTGTAATATTTTTTCACCTTACAACACAGGTTGGGGATATTATATAAGTATTGCAAATATCGTTCGATTCTCACGAAAATTTTCACAAGGGTAGGGTTGGGCTCAGAAGGGCTAGGCCTATTGTTTTCAAAGATTTCCGCAATATATTAGGGGGTTGAAATGGACCAACAACTTAAGATTTTCCTGACTTTGCAAATAGAAACCAAAGGACACGAAATCTCGCATAAAGTTAGAAATACCAGCATTACATACAGGCGATATCCGAAATACACAAAAGACGAATCTCTGGCTTTTTATACCCTCCACCATACTATGGAGGGTATATTAATTTTGTCATTCCGTTTGTAACTCCTCGAAATACTCATGTCAGACCCAACAAAGTATATATATTCTTGATCAGCGTAAAATTCTAAGTCGATTTAGCAATGTCCGTCTGTCATTCTGTCTGTCCGTCTGTCTGTCTGTTTGTCTGTCTGTCCGTCTGTCTGTCTGTTGTAATCACGCTATCTTTCGAATAAATTGAGATAGATGGCTAAAATTTTGCACACATGTTTATTTTTCCAGTAGGCAGGTTAAGTTCGTAAATGGGCCATGTAGGTCCACGTTTTCATATAGCTCCCATATAACGGTACCTCCGGATTTTCGGTATTTTGATGATTTTAGCGACGTTATTCACCGGAATTGTTTCAAATTTGGTATTTTAAGTTCCAAATGGATACTACATCCTAAGATAGAAAATTGTCTGTGCAAGTCTATGTCTTCGTATAGCCCCCATATAACGGTACCTCCCGATATTCGGTATTTTGATGATTTTAGCGACATTATTCACGGGAATTGTTTCAAATCTGGTATTTGAAGTTCCAAATGGATACTACACCCTAAGACAGAAAATTGTCTTTGCAGGTCCACGTCTTCGTATAGCCCCAATATTACGGTACCTCCCTATATTCGGTATTTTGATGATTTTACCGACGTTATTCACCGGAATTGTTTCAAATTTGGTATTTTAAGTTCCAAATGGATACTACACCCTAAGAGAGAAAATTGTCTGTGCAAGTCTATGTCTTCGTATAGCCCCCATATAACGGTACCTCCCGATATTCGGTATTTTGATGATTTTAGCGACATTATTCACGGGAATTGTTTCAAATCTGGTATTTGAAGTTCCAAATGGATACTACACCCTAAGACAGAAAATTGTCTTTGCAGGTCCACGTCTTCGTATAGCCCCAATATAACGGGACCTCCCTATATTCGGTATTTGATGATTTTAGCGACATTATTCACTGGAATTGTTTCAAATTTGGTATTTTAAGTTCCAAATGGATTCTACACCCTAAGACTGAAAATTGTCTTTGCAGGTCCACGTCTTCGTATAGCCCCCATATAACGGCACCTCGCTATGTTCGGTATTTTGATGATTTTAGCGACATTATTAACCGGAATTGTTTAAAATTTGATATTTGAAGTTCGTTATGGGAACTACAGTCTGTGACAGAAAATTGTCGGTGCGGGTCCAGTTTCGAATTTGAATATGGTAATGGCTTATGACAAACAATGCACATGTATGTCCACGTCGTATAGACCCCAACATAACGGCTATATTCGGTATTTTTAAAATTTTAACAGAATTTTTTAAGGATTTTATTTTTTGAAAATTTCCAAATTCGTTGTAAATGGTGGAGGGTATTAAAAGTTCGGCCCGGCCGAACTTACTGCTTTTTAACTTGTTTATGCTGATTTCGTTGAAGAATATAGTCAAATATCGTAGGCAAGCAAGATGAGTCTAAATTTGGAGATTCAGAGGGGCTTCTTGCTTTTGGAGATGATTGCAAAATAATTATTTTAAATTAATCAAAAACAGAAACGTTTTTCCGAACTCACAATTGAAGCCAATCGACACGCCTGTGAAGAGATTTAAGGACAGGGAAGAATTCTAGCATTTTGGATGACCATTGGATTATATTTATCGGTAAAATGGACTACAACAACTAACAGCCCGACGGAGTGCATAAATGTTGGGCAAATGTCCCTAGTCGAAATCCTAATTTCAAAAGCGAAATCTTCCAATATGGATTTGGACATAAGGGGGCTTCTAACATATTGTAGTGTTGTGGGGTATAACATAGTCTGACCCCCACGACTATAGCCTTTTCTTATTTGTTTTAATATTCGGTTGGTGGTATTCTACAATCCTAGAAATACGATATATCGTTTATTATTTCCCAAAAATTTACAATAAGTCCTTTAAAATTGCGTGCTTTGTAAAACATTTTTTTTTTCACAAAATAGTTTTTTTCCACACATTCCACATTCCCAGGGTTAGGCATTCGGAAGCAAAAACAAAAACGATATTTCAAGCCTTTGTCAAGAGTTTCATGTAAATATTTGTGTTACTTTTTGTTTCCCACTGAAAAAAAAATGCTAAACAAACAATTGCCATGCCGTTGGAAACGTTCAACATGTGGCATTTGTTTCCGCTGAAATGTATGTAAATTTTCGTTCACCCGCATCTGTTATCCTTCCCCCAACTAATCTCTCCTGCCCCCTCTTTGTGTGCTTTCAGTTACAAACATGTACACGGACATCTTTCGGTAGTTGTCTGCCTGCTGGGCACAATGGCCAATACGCTGAACATAATGGTACTGTCACGACGTGAAATGCGCACACCCACAAATGCCATTCTAACCGGTTTGGCTGTGGCCGATTTGGCCGTTATGCTAGAATATTTACCGTATGCCATACACGATTACATATTGTCGGAATATTGGACGAGGGAACAACAGCTGAACTACTCATGGGCTTGCTACATTAAATTCCATGCCATTTATGCCCAGGTATTGCACACCATTTCCATTTGGTTGACGGTGATGTTGGCGGTGTGGCGCTACATTGCCGTTACCTACCCGCAGGTGTCACGCGAATGGTGCGGCATGAGCAATACTGTGATCTCAATATTGCTGGCCTATGTCATTTGTGGTCTGGTGGTTACACCCTGGCTGTACTTAGTCAGCTCGGTGGCGCAATTCGAGGAGGTGGTTACCGAACAAAATAAAGTGCTTTATTCAAGGCCATTGAGTGAATATATCCTTAAGTACCAGGCCAAGCATGATTATGCGAATTTCTCTAAGCTCAGCACTTTAAATGCCACTGGCGGTCTCAATATCAGCAGCGGCGGCGGCAGCGGCAGTAGCAGAAGCAGTGGCAACAGTGTCAGCATCAACGACGACAATGTTACGATAAACGATACCTCATTATTTCAGCAGGAGCAGCAACAGCAACAACATCACAACATAACTGTTTATCGCCTGTACCACAGTGACATGGCCTTGCAGAACAGTACCCTGCGTCTGGGCACGCTGCTCGTCTATTCGGTGCTGATAAAACTGATACCGTGCATAGCACTCACCGTGCTCTCGTTGCGTCTCATCACAGCCCTGTTGGAGGTGAAGAGACGCCGCCAAATGTTACACAGTCAATTGCTAAAGGCCGAGGAGAAATCTTCCCAATCGAATGCCAGCCAATCAATGCCGGTTGGTGTTGGCGGTAGTGGTGCGGTGGTGGGCGGTACCACGGTCGCAGGCTCCTCACCCCTGGTCGATGCCAATCAAATGGCCATGAACTCCACACTGATGATACGGAAAAAAATCGACAAGGCGAAACAAACGGATCGCACAACGCAAATGCTGTTGGCGGTGCTAATGCTGTTCCTTATCACGGAATTGCCGCAGGGCATAATGGGTCTGCTCAATACGATATTGGGTGAAGCGTTTTTTATGCAGTGCTATCTGAAATTAAGTGAGTATTGTCTTGTCACACGCACAATCACCCACACAAATGCACACGAGCTCTTAATAATCAAAAAATAAATAAATCACAATTAAGATGTCAAACAAGGTAAACAACATTTATGACACAAACAATTTGTTTGTGGTTTGACGTAACAAAAATATGAACAGATAACTTTTTACGTTTGCCATAAAACATGTTATGTTCGAACACAACACATGTCTTTGATTTGTGGCCAAAATATGGAACAAAAATAGAAATATCCTGAGGGGAAATGTGGTTATGGCCAAAGAGAATCATTCGATGTATTTCCACCTGGGAGGAATGAATGTCGTGATAGGAGAGGTGTAAAAAGAGTAAAGTAATTGACTGACTGACTGAAGATTCATCAACGCCCAGATAAAACGGAATTGAATTTTGGATGAGTGTCACTCTTGGTGCGAAGGCGTCAGATAAGGCTGGTAGTAAAAGCTACTATGGTATCATTTCGTGTCATGTGAACGGTTAGAGCTAACAACTTGAAATTTGGAATGGGAATTGAGGTTGAGAAGGTAATTTTGGATGTGGGTCCACATGTACAGGAAAAGTGCTAAACGGTACTAAATTGAGTATAATTTAAATTTGGAGGAACGGAGGAGTCGTAATCCTGAAATTTTAAATTAACATTACTGGCGGAGTATAGGATTGGGATATGGAGGATTTTTTTCGAAATGTATAAATACACATAAATAAATACGAACTAAATTTGGTACAACTTCGATTTGGGGGAGCCGATAGAGTTGGTATACTGAAATTTGAAAAAAGAAAAGAATATAGGATTGGAGTATGAAAAAAATTTTGGAAATTCGTATTTTTGTGTATTAAATTTGGTAAAATCACGATTTGGGTGAACCGTGAAATAAGATTTCTATTGGATTGTTTAATGTTGGTAGTTATGGAAATGTGTACTTATGTGTACCAAAATGGTTCAAATTGAATTTGGTTGAACCAATCTAGCTAACATCCTGTAATTTGAAAATAAGATTATTGTACTAAATGATACTAAATTTAAGATTTGGGAATGAAGAATTCTATTAGATTGTATGAGGTGCACGAAAAGTAGCTGGAATTCTGAAATTAATAAATAAGATTACATTGCATTCTAGGACGGAGGAATGTAGGTGATTTTGGAAATTCGCGTTTATGTACAAAGTGAGATAAAAACCAGTAAAGAGAGTCCTAGAGTCGGGCGGGGCCGACTTTATGATACCCTGCACCACTTTGCTAATTTAGTAGAGCTCCACATAACAATTAAAAGTTTTTATGTGATAATTCAAGCATACACGCTATGATTATAATTATAATTAAAGTTAAAATTCAAAGGATTAAATATGCCGAAGCATTTGCATCTTTTAAATTCGGAATTCTGAATCGATCTCGATAAAATTTGGCAAAGATATTTCTGAGCTGTATTTGATATATTTCCCTGAATATCGTTGTTACGGAGTGCATATTACGGCTGTGGGTACCAAATACAACAAATCGGATGAACAATATATATGGGAGCTATAGCTATATCTGAACCGATCTTCACCAAATTTGGCATACCACCTTCTATACTCAATTCGGTCGTATGTGCCAATTTCCATCCCATTTGGGCAAATATTAGACGTTTGGTACACAATAGAAGGTAAATCGGACGAAGTTATATATGGGAGCTATATCCAAATCTGAATCGATCCCGATAAAATTTGGCAAAGATATTTCTGAGCTGTATTTGATATATTTTCCTGAATATGGTTGTTACGGAGTGCATATTACGGTTGTGAGTAACAATTACAACAAATCGGATGAACAATATATATGGGAGCTATAGCTATATCTGAACCGATCTTCACCAAATTTGGCATACCACCTTCTAGACTCAATTCGGTTATATGTGCCAATTTCCATCCCATTTGGACAAATATTAGACGTTTGGTGTTAAATAGGACGAAGTTATATATGGGAGCTATATTCAAATCTGAACCGATCTCGATAAAATTTAGCAAAGGTATTTCTGTATTTGATATATTTCCCTGAATATCGTTGTTACGGAGTGCATATTACGGGTGCGGAGGACAAAAATAACAAATCGGATGATATATATACATGGGATCTATAGCTATATCTGAACCGATTTCGATCAATTTGGCATACTTATACTAATTTGGTTGTATGTGCAAAATTCCATACTATTCGGGCTAATAAATGCGACACGTTTGGTGCACAATAAAAGGCAAATCGGACCAAGATATATATGGAGCTATATCTAATTTTTTACCGATTATCTCTAATTTCAATGGGGTTCGTCCTTGGGCCAAACAAATTTTTTTTGGAAATTTTCGTCTCTATCGGATAATAAATGCGACCTGCAAGAATACATGGACAGACGGACTGACATGCATAAATCAACTCAGAAAGTAATTCTATGGAGATCCTCAAAGTAACTATGGATGGTCTATCTCGTTTCCTTCTCGTGTGCTGTGTGAGATGGTGCTGAGTCCTGTTGGAATCTCCTAGGTCTGCGGCCAAAATGTTTGCGTGCCCAAGGCTTTGATTCACCCTCCAGAATATTTTCGCAATAATATTCGGCATTCATTCTGATGCCACGATTAATTAATACGAGAGGCACCATCGGAGAGCCACCATCGGCTGTTATGGCGGCCCACACCATTACCTTGGCCGGCGCTTTAATTCTGGTGGCCAACCGAAGGCGCACATTTTCAACAGACCTCTGTGGCAAGTAAACACGATCATTTTGTTTGATTACAAACTACTGGACAGCGAATGTTTTCTCATCAGAGAAAACCAAATTCGGCAGTTCACCACTTTCGGCCAAGCGAAGCAACTCTTTAGCTCTTTTGAGTCTATTTTCTTTCTGTTGCGGTGTAAGTTATTGCACTTTTTGGAATTTCAATAGCTTTACACCAAGCTCAATATTGCGATATGTTCAGCTCACAAGCCATTTCTCGGCCACTGGGACGCGGATTTCGCTCAAGTCGCTTTTTCACTTTTCTAACCATTTCTGCTGATGTTGCTGTTTTCTTCCGTCCTTTGCGTTGGGCTACGCTACCAGTTTCACGGTAACGAGCGATGGTACGAGACATAAAAGATTTATTCACATTTAAATACTGGAGTGCTCTAACGATAGCCACTTATGGTTTTCCAGCCAAATATAAAGAAATCACACTATCACGCTTAAATTCCATCACGAATAACTTTTTTTCTGGAAAATTCTCACAAAAATGCTTTTGTACGCTTGTAACAATAAATTGAGCTGTAATTGGAATAATTTAAGCAGCTGTCGGACAAGTGACTTAGAAATGACAGCAGTCTGAAGTTGGTTGCAGATTTTTCATCTCACCCTGTATATCAAACTAACTTTCCACCCTTGATTCATATACCAATTTTTTAAGAAATTTAGTACCATTTTAAAACTTTTCGTAACCTTAAAATTCGAATTTTCAAAAACTCTTTGGCTCATCTATCGTGCACTCCATCACTGACTCTCATTCATTTGTCCAGTACAAAGTATTAAATTTTTGTACATTTTAGTACTTTTCGTACGCTTTTAGTACACATTTCCAACAAATTTTATTTCACGCCTACACACTAAGACTGACGCTCGTGCTAAATTCCAAGATTTTAGCTTCCGCAATTTCGTCTTGCCGTTAATACTCGGTTAGTCAGCTATTTCACTTCACACAATTAAAAAGTCGAGTTAATTTTTTCTTTCCCTCCACAAGTAATGAATCTTGATTCTATCTTATGACAATTTTCCTCCCATTTCTCTATTCCAAAATATTTTTGCATAAGAATGTAGCATAGCTAAACTTTTTTTTTAGTTCGTAGCTATTTCTACATACCTTATTCTCTTTATATTCATGCGGTAATTTAATTTCATCTACCAACGGAAACTTTATAATCCCTTAGGAAAATAACTTCACGAAATAGCAGCAGCAGAAAAATATGTCAAAACGCTTGTTTATGTGCGGGAAACTTTTAATTTTAATTGAAAAATAATTTTCTAAGAAAAACATCACACTTTTCCATCGTTTCCACCGTAAATCCATTTTATCGCATTTTTAACATGCTGCAGGTTCTAAAAGCCAATGAATAACAAATATCCAAAACAGCAACAGAGACATATCAATTTCAATTTAATCGTCATTTTTTATCGCTCAAAATAAAAAACGAATACGTAACGACACAAACAAGAGCACATCATCGTTGACCTATGAACTTTCCTTAATTTTATAGCTTTATTTTTTTTTCATCTGGCTGAGCTTCAAAAAATATGTTTGGAAGTATAAATATTTATTAAAGTGTGAAATATTTTGATAGCATTTGGAGTTTATTGTCAATTAAATTCAAAAACAAACTGTGGAGGGAAGGTAAAATGTGCGAAAGTATGGCATGGAACAAGTAAAAATGGTAAATAAGTTTGTACCACTCAGAACTAGAAAGGGACGGCTACTTCGTCAGCGAAAAGTCCACCTTGAAATTTTGAATATGTTCCAACAGTTCGTGTTAGGTCTTTTTAGTACTAAAAATGCCCAATTTGTCCAGTTTAACAAAAACGTTTTTAAATGAAAACATAATATCAATTTTTCAGACTTTCAAGGTTTACTTTTTTGGATAGAAAGTAGGAAAATATTTACTTTTACACCAAAAAATTTTTAAACTTCAATTTGAAGTTCACCAGACAGGATATTATTAAAACCATTGCATGGTGGAACCACATCCAATTTTTTGTCGAAAACAATTTCAATATTTCCAAATGTAAATCCTTGAGACCAACAGTGTTCTCAATATCAACTTTCAGAATTTCATATCTTTCCCTTCAATCAAGACTAAATTTATTACCATTTAGTACTTTATATGCAGTTAAAGTACACATTTCCAAAATCACCCCTATATCGCAATTCCAGATACTAATCCTTCACCCAGTACCCAATCTAGTACAATTTTTCAAAACCACATCCATA